CACTGTAACTATATGGCCATGTCGGATCGAAAACTAACATTATCAAAGTGGTATTTAAGCTTGCAAGCTTACGTACTACTACATTCAGTTTATTCCACTGCATCTACATAGTGTGACATATAGAAGAAAAACAAAAGACACACACATATTAGGTTCGGTATATTCTTCAGCATATTCTTCAACATGCGGAGCAGCTTTTTATAAAAAACAGATACGAATAATACTAAAATTATTAGCAGTTTCTTATGAAGTTCTTACAAATCTCTTCTAAAATTCTTATAAGAGTCTTACGAAATTCGTGGCACCTTCGAGCGTTTTCCAGTAAGATTCTTGTCTGATTCCTTATATGAATCGATGCCTAGGGCACAGGGTACTTTGGGGTAATCAGAAACACTCTTTCAAACTTTCATTCCTTTTGTGCTATTTCTTGCCCATTTTTGATCGAAAAAACTTGCTATTGAACAGGGTGGTAGAATGAACATTTCTTTACACACATTCACATGCGTGCTCACGTAAAAATCTTTTCAAAATCTTCGACCACTTTGAGCCAGATCCAAAATGCGAACAGCCCTATCAAAGTGTGTGACGCTTCACCTCTACGTTTGGGGTAAATAGAGACACTCCACTGAAATACATAGAGTTTTAATGGACAACTGCTGGTTAATTAATCTTACGAGATCATTCGTTCAAATGTACTCTAGTTTAAACTCTAGCTTAAAGTACATAATATCGCCCTAACAACCGCCATTCAACTGACCGTTAAGCATCTGTTAACGGTTTCAAGCGTCTAACATGTATCTGTCACGAAACATTCAGCACAATTCCACAATCACTCTAGTTTAAAGTACAGAAAAACGCACTAAAATCGGTCCGTTAAGTGACCGCTAACCATCTGTTTGTGGTTTAAAGCGGCTAACATGTAACTGTCATGAAACATTCAACCTCATTCAACAATCACTCTAGCTTAACGTACAGAAAAACGGCCTAAAAACCGTCGGTTAACTGACTGTTAACGCCCTCTTTACGTTTTGAAGCTTCTAATATGTATGTGTCATGAAACATACAGCATCATTCTACGATCAGTCTAGCTTAAAGTACAGAAAAACGCCTAAAAACCGATCCGTTATCCGACCGTTAACTACCTTTGCGGTTTAAAGCGTCTAATATGTATGAGTCATGAAATGTTCAAAATGGCGAGTACGAGTATACTCGGGTACAAAATTTTTAGTATCGTACTCGTACCCGGGACTTTTTTGTATGAGTACTTACGAATGTACTCGAGTATGTTCGAGTATTTGAAAATTTTTAATATACAATAACCTATAATTAAAGTAACTTTTTTCATGAGTATTTTCGTCTTTTAAAAATTTCGGGTAATTTTTAGAAAATACTCGTAGTCGAGAATCTGGGTACTCGCCCATCCCTGTTTAAAAATCGTGCTAAAATTATACTAGCAAAAGGTACAGAAAAACGCCTTAAAAACAATCCGTTAGCTGACCGTTAACGACTTGTGTAGGGTTTGAAGTATGTATCTATCTATCATTCGCTGGTATGTATGTGTCATGTAACATTCAAACCTCATTCTAAAATCACTGAAGGTGCAGACGAACGGCCTAAAAGCGGTGCGTAAACTAACCGTTAACGACCTATTTGCGGTTCGAAGCGGCTAACATATATCTGTCATGAAATATTCACGATCATTCGACAATCAATCTAGCTTAACATACAGAAAAACGGACTAAAAACGGTCCGGTACCTGACGCTTAACGACCTGTTTGCGGTCTGATGTGTCCAATATGTACGCTTCATGAAACATTTAGCATCATGTCACAACCACTCTAGCCTAAAGTGGAGAAAAACGGCCAAAGAACGGTCCATTATCCCACCGTTAACGCCCTGTTTACGGTTTCAAGCTGCTAGCATGTATCTGTCATGTAGCATTCAAACATCATGGTAAAATCACTCTTGCATAAGGTACGGAAAACGGTCTAGGAACGGTCCATTATCCGATCGCTGACTTCCTGTTTCCGATTTGAAGCGTCTAATATATATGTCTCACTAAACGTTCATGATCATTCTGCAATCAATCTAGCTTAAAGTAGTGAAAAACAGCCTAAAAACGGTCCGTTCACCGACCGTTAACGACCTGGTTCCGGTTCGAAGCATCTAATATGTATGCGTCATGAAATGCTAAAAAATCGTTCTAAATTTACACTAGCATAAGGTACTGAAAAGCGCCTTAGAAACGGTCCGTTAACTGACCGTTAACGACTTGTTTAGGGTTTGAAGTTTCTAAGATGTATCTGTCCTGAAACATGCAAAAATGATTCTAAACATCACTCTGGCGTGAAGTACAGAAAAACGGCCGTAAAGCGATCCTCTAACCGACCCATAACGACCTGTTTCCGGTCTGAAGCGTGTGATATGTAGTTATCATGAAACAATATGTATTTATCATTCTACAATCACTCTAGCATAAGGTACAGCGAAGCGGCCTAAAAACGGTGCGTTAACTGACAGTTAACGATGCGTTTAGGGTTTGAAACTTCTAATATGCAGGTGTAATGAAATATTCAGCGTCATTGTTCAGTCACTCTAGCTTAAAGTACAGAAAAGCGGCCTAGAAGCGTTCGGTTAACTGACGACTAACGACCTATTTCCGGTTTGAAGCTTCTAATATTTGTCTCATTAAACGTTCATCATCATTGTACAATCACTCTAGGTTGAAGTACAGAAAAAGCGCCTAAAAACGGTCCGTTAACCGATCCTTAACAACCTATTGTGAGTTGTTATAGTGAGAGAATGTCCTTCAGGGCGCGCCTTATGTATATGTTAGAAAAAAACTCAAAAGACTATGACTGTGTTAAAATACGTCAGCTATTCAATAAATGTTACTAAAAATGCCAGAAGTTTACTTTATTTTGCTGTTTTATACCAACACATCGGCTGCTTACTGTCGATTTTCCACCTTCTCCCACAGAATTTTATAAATCGATTAGAAACAACACATCATAAAGTCTTTAGCTGCTTTACAACCTAGGGTAGGCAGGGAGACGGCTATTATGCAACATCACACAGCAACAACTAAACAACACGTGGCAATATCACTAAAGAAACAGCTTAGAACGATACAGGATTTGCCCAACACCACTACTATTACCCTAGCCAACGATATTACCTACAGATATCATCTCAACAGACATTTTCTAACAAAACGATATATACAGCGACTGCTGCCTGGGAGAACCAGGAAAACGATTCGTTCATACCTGGAGAAACAAAGTTCATTGCTGATTGATCGGCTATTATTTCTAGAAAAACATGAACATTTTTTAAGAAGCATTGGAGCGTAAACAACAGAGAAATGTATTTTGTGTCCCATACAAGCCGTATATCCTTTTTATGTGGATTATTGAAAGGCGAGACTAAGCTATAAATAAAAGCTACTCACTCACTCAGACTTGTAGATATTTTACCTTTCTCTCTCGCTTCTACACATTAAATATTTTCTTTTCATTTCTTGCGCAACTACTTCGCTCGGTTCTGATTCATCAACGTCACCATCACCTTTTTAACCTTCTCCTTTTCTTGCTTCATAGTCGTCTGAGGGACAAATGACTCCTACAATCAGTAATTACGAAAAAATCATAGAGAAAAATTACGCAATTCCGCTGCAGTTTCTTATAAATGTATAAAGCTTACTTTTCATCTCTTTGTCTCATACATTATATCACACAGGTTCAGATATCTATTTCGGTAAGTTTAATAATATCAAACTTCGACGAGAAAACTCATTTAACAAATAATTTGTGCTATTTAAATAAAAGAAGTTGGTGACCTTCTTGGATGAAATTTTTTACAGATTCAGTCTCTAGCTAAAAATCCTGAATCCGTACTGGTTTCGAACAGGAAAAACATTTCTTTGTTTTGCATTTTTCAAATGTTTTTGCTCCTTCTCGTCTCTTAAAAATAATTTTCACGAGGAAACCTTCTCAGGTGTAACCCTCCTTTCTCAATGCAGCCGACATGGATCGATTGCCTACCTAGTGGTAGTAAAAAGCCTAAGAGGTTTTATTCAGAAAGCTCCTCCTTCGAAAATTCGAGCCATTTTTCTGATTTTCCGAGCACAAATCGGCCAAAATAGAAAAATTCATCTCTCAGCCAAAAAGCATTATACCAACTAGGACCACACAGGTATTCACTATTGCGAAAGTCTCCACCAGTTTTACTTCTTGAGATACAAGATTTTTTCTTATGGTAGAGAAAATCGTATGTGTATCATAGCGGAGAGAAATGCTTTTCAACTGAAAGGTAGATACAGATGTCACATTTAGCCATTTGTGAAATAGTTAGCCGTTCAGTTTGGTAACTGACGTCACCAATATGAACGTTGTCTCCCTTCTGCTCACGCCTCTCACTTTAGCAGGGTCTTTTTTTATTTACAAAATCACCATTGTTAAGATAGAGCTCTCATTCCTTCAATCTCTAGCCTTAGACCAGCTTTTAGAGCCATTTCGAGATAGTTAGCCATAATGAGAGAGAACAGCGTTAGTCTTATAGGAAAAGTGGAATACAAAGGATACCACCAAAAATGCATACAGTGGGAGATATATGCGATTTCCTCTACCATAACAAAAATTTTGTATCTCAAGAAGTAAAACTGGTGGAGATTTGCGACTTTCGCAATAGTGAATACCTGTGTGGACCTAGTTGGTGTAAAAGTTTCAAGTATATACGATGTTATATAGCTGAGATATGGATTTTTCTATTTTGGCCGATTTGTGCTCGGAAAATCAGAAAAATGGCTCGAATTTTCGAAGGAAGAGCTTTCTGAATAAAACCTCTTAGGCTTTTTACTACCACTAGGTAGGCAATCGATCCATGTGGGTTGCATTGGAAAAGGAGGGTTACACCTGAGAAGGTTCCCGCGTCAGTGGTTAAATTGCATCATGAGCGTCGACGTTTATTTAAAATAACTATTTCTATAGATTAATCAAGATATGGCGTCAGATATTGAAAATGAGAACGACGATGACACTTTTTATTACAATTCTGATGACAGTTTGATTTATAATTCTATTTATCTATTTGAATCACGTCAACCAATTAAATCAAAATCAAAAAAGCAAAAATATAAGAAAAATAACCTTCATTCAAATACAACCAAAATTATTAAATCATTTCCAGTGGTTCTGAAAGACAAATGTAAAGCTTACAATAAGACACCAAAAGCTGAACAGAAAAAATTCCGTTATAATCGATACCCAGAAAATGAAACACTTGTTTTTCAATGCGAACACGATCTCAGAGAAGAAAAAAGAAAAGCTAAACAAAAATCACCCACTCCTGTTTCCTCACTCGTAATACCACAGCAAACAACAGCCAATGTCACTACGACTTTTTCTTCGACACCACTCACAAAATGGGAGAAAGTACTAGCTCAGCGCAATATGAGAAAACAACTACAGAGACAAAAACAAGCTGAACGTGAAAGACAAAAGCTAATTCATTCAACCAATTCCCGTAGAGAAACCAATAACCAACAGCATTTATCAAGTTTTTCAACATTTCGTCGTCATTTCTATACATCTAAGTGTGAGTCAATAAAATCATCATTAAATTATAACGACAGCGTCAAAATAAGTGACATTCGTCTAGCACCTGTGAACGCCTTTGTTCAAGTCCAGTTTATGAAGAAACTAAATAAACATTCATTTGGACGTCTCGTATTGGTTTATCATGGTACACATATGAATAAACTAGAAAGTATTCTAAAGTACGGTTTCTTAATACCTGGAAAACGACATCCAACAAATTCTGATGCACCACGAATTAGGGTCATCCATAAACGACAGCTAGACCTGGGTAGAAGGCGCGAAAAAGACAGCTTTGAATGAGAATACGCAGAAGTTGAAATGTGGTGGAGTTATAACAGTTGTAGGGTTATAGTGGCCATGTAAGTGCGGTTTCAGCAGACATACAGCCAAAACGGTTTTGACTGTATGAGACGTTCTTAGTTAAGCTTTTTGTGAGGGAAACACAAGCTTGGATAAACATCGATTTTTGACCCAATTTTCTGAGATTCCCTTTCTCAGAGATTTCATGTAACACGGCCACCGGAAGAATGATAATGTGAGGGTTTATCTGTCTGCATTTTTTTCCGTTGACAGCCGTGGAAGGAGACCACTTTGGGAGCGGGAACTGTTACAGTGCACAGTGTTCCTTTCTTTCTTTTTCTGTCCTTCATCATTATCGTATGTACTATCCATCTGTTATATTTATGTACTATTATCTATAATTATTCGCGCTTTTTCTTTCTTTTTTTGTTACAAAAGTAGAATATTTTCCGAAATCGTTCTTTGAAGAACGTTACCAGCGATCTTTGGCAAAGTCAAATCATTGATTCAGATAGTTTAAGCCGATCTCGTTTTGTAGACCACGCTTGGATCTGTAAACTCACGCACTTCGTTCAGAATCGAAATCTTTTCATTCAAATACGGATTTGCGCTCAGCCAAAACATCCTAAGTAAGTTCTTCCATAAATTCTCGAGCTGGTTTTCGATTTATTTAATGTCGAAAGAATAGTATTCATTATTATGACTTAAGCAAAATCACTTTTCCAATTGCAAAGCTATGTGGAATCGTCGTTCACCTTTTTGTTTTCAGTTTTCACGTATATTAGAGAGAACTTTACACTATGTAAAGCCGAAATTTTTTTCAGCCTGATATCCGAGAACCGAAGTGGAAGGCAGATACTCAAATCTAGGAGAATCAAGGTTAGGGGAAGGCCAAAACTCTAACTAAGCTGTATTCTGTGTTCAACGTCCTTCATGGCTGATCCTATTAAAATGATGAATGGACGACTGTATGGTAATGGTATTTATTGCAGTCGCACGGCTAATTATTCGGTAGGATATTCGCAAGCAACAAATACATTGTTAGTATGTGCAGCCATTCCACATCATAATAACCTACAGTACGGTAATATAATTGTTTTGAAACAAGAAGCAAGAGTTGTTCCGCTATTTCTGATGGATTTTTCGTGTATACATCCTAGTTATAATCAACCATGGTTTAATTATACGAGAATGAAGAAAAATTTGCCTGTTGAAGAACAGCGAGAAGAAAAGAATGAAGAAATAGATGAACGAATAAACCAAGGTACAAGAAAATGTTTCCGAAAAATATTAGAATTTTTTAACGATAATCTTATTAAAAGTAATTGGTACCAAATACGATATTTTCAGTAATGTTATTTTATATTTTAGCAATAAATTTTTTGTTAGTTCAAGTCCAATTCTTGCTATAGTGAGCATCTGCAAACTTATGGAAGAACTTACTTAGGATGTTTTGGCTGAGCGCAAACTCATATTTGAATGAAAAGATTACGATTCCGAACGAAGTGCGTGAGTTTACAGATCCAAGCGTGGTCTACAAAACGAGATCCACTCTTCACAATCGAACTTTCTGAAGTTATGATCATTTTAAGGATTAACCTTCCCTCTTTGTGTTGCGTTTTGGATGAGCATAAACGAGGATTTTCAAGGATTCATCCACATTTGCAGATGGTACCATTGACCAAGCTAAAAATTTCGCCATATGTATTTAATGATTATGTGGGGTTCAGTTCATCCCTAAAAGGTTACAAATTGGCTGCAGTTTTTTGGGAAGTATGACCTTTCTGGACTTTGGGTGTTCCAAGGGATTTGTAGAGAACTTCGGAGGAAAATTGATCTTTATCCGGCATTTTATAATTCTTTGTCCTTAAACAGCACATGAAATGATATCGTTTGCGTGAGTCTGAAATATAACGGGATATTTCTGGCTCATTTGTGACGTTAGTGTATCTCGCTCTAAATTAGTACCTGTTCTTACACCTAATTACAATCCGGATGCTTGTTACCTATATCTTTAAGATTTTGAGTATCTGTTCTTCTTCGTGTTGATTATACCTTTACCTGGTCAATTACATTCATCTATTTGTGTCATGGTTCTCACGCCGGCTCAAAAACAAAAACGTCATAGTAAAAACTTGGCTAAAAAAGGCTTAAATGGCGTCTCAAAAGTTAAAATTTTCTGCGTCTTTATTCAATGAAAAACTATGTTCTTTTGGACTAAACTAAAATTTAGCTCTACCTTTGTCCTGAAGTCTTTATACATCGGTGGAATAAAGTTCTCATACACAAAACTTCAAAACTTAGAGAAATCAAAAGTTTCTGGTGAGTGCGTTACCGACTGCTGCGTACGTTACCACAATGTTTTAATAATAACTCATTACAGAAACAAGATTTTCCAAAGAAATGTTTTGGCATCGTAACGCCTGGTGTTTTGGCTACAAACGCACACGAAAGAGTTTTCCTCAGTACGACAAAATTCGCAGAAATTTAAATTTTTTTGTATTGTTCTAATGGAATAAGGTCTTTTGAACGAGTGCGTTACCGCTGTTTTCGGTACCCCTAAAATCATAAGGGTAAGGTCAAATGAGGTGAATTTTGTAACAGAGCTAGGTCTTACAATCACCTAACTATACTGTAAGTTTCAATACTTGTCACCTAAGATTGCTGACTTACGGCAATCCGAACGTCAAAAATGAGTGAGTGCGTTACCTGTGGACAGGCTGTTATGCACCATAGACTATGCATTTTGTTTGAAATAAGAACGTGAGTATTCAACAATCAAAACTCAAAGTGAATCACGATGTAGAAAGAAATATATATGGAATTTCAAGGTACCAGTTATTCATACAAAAGAGAACAAGCTGAAACAATAAAACAACTTAGATAAGTGGAGCTGTATGTATGTAGATAATGCGTGCGTCGATATTATTAGGCGGAAACAAAACACTTTTGAAAAAAAGAAAAAACGCCGGCACATAAAAGATTGAAACACAAATTGCACTTAAGTCTTTTCATTATGACGCATGAGTGTCATTGCGAAAGTCGTTTATATCGAAGTTCTGTTCGACCAAAAAGTCTCCATCTTTACATTTGTGTATGTCAATACATAAATTCTTGAAGCACATTTTGTGCGTAATGTAAATTTTCATATCGTATTCAAACATGTTTTTCATTCTAATGAGAGAGTTTGGAAAACTTTTTTACTGCCATTATGTTAACCCTGAAAAGCTGAATGTCCCTTAGAAAGGACATTACGATAATTTCAATACAACACATAATAAAATTTTGTATATAAGACCTAGTGTTTTCTGGGACTAAGACGACCTGATAGACCACAAAAAGAGTAAGAAATCAATCCTGAGTGACTGTCAGACGAAACGATGTATTTTTTATAATTTATAATTTGTTAAATGTCATTTTTTTATTCGGAAACTTTTGCTTATTCATGAAAGCCTGTTTTTTCGAGCTATATCGCGAAGCGTATCATCAGGCTATAGGATGAAACCATTCCACAATTTTTTAACCGATCTACCGATACATTATAACATCATAAAGAAAATGTCCGTTGGAAGAACATTCAGTCATAACGACATGAAATACACATCAACGTATAAATAACAATCCAAGCTTTACAATTAAAAATGAAATATGCGCTAGGAAAATATACTGAAATGTTTGAACTGTAGCTTTCATTTAAATCTTAGTTCAAGTAGAAATTGTTTTACACAATATCTTGCTCAAAAATAACTGAATATTATATTGAAATGAACATTTATTTTGCATAGAATGTGTCCTTTTAAACAACTATAAAAATAAGTGTTGATCACTACTTTGTGTACTGACAGTGAAATAAATATAATCATCCCGATGAATGGGATTCGTTTCCCCTGAAAGAAGAAAAATGACAAATTCATGCCGATGAGGTCGAATGTCCCTTCCTAGAGACATTCTGTATCTCTATAAGAAAAATAAGCTAATTTCTTTTAGCTATAGTACGAGCATACTGACAGTCCATAATCTCTATTTTTGTGAGCAGCTTCCTCCCGTTGCCAAAAAACGGCTTTTAAGGGTTAACGACGACATGTTCGATCGGATGAAAGACAAATTTAGTCTAATAATTTGTTGTAGAAAAGACGTTGCAGACGGACACATGGTCCAGTTGTTCTTATGAAAAATCAGCTCAAAATACGTTTTTAATGTTGATTATTTTGAGATTCCATCGGAAGACGTCGTTGTTAGAAAAAATAATATTTTTGAAAAATCCAGCATATGTTTCACACAACCTTGATATGAGAAAATAGCCAGTAAATAACTATATTTTGAGTAAACAAATTCTACGTGCTATTGGCTCAATGCATTATAAGTCAAATGCGCGAAAAATCAACGAAATGTAATCATATTTTGCAACTTTCGCCATCAAATTCTAATTTTTTCTCAAAACCAACGTCATATGTGGGGTCACACAAACATTGATATGAAAAAAAAAGCCAGTAAAAAATTGAATATTTATATTATATTGAATTTTTTAATGGCTATTTTTTAATATCAAAGTTTGTGTGAAACC